TTGCAGTGTATGTGTCAGCACAACACCAGTAAGAATAATAACAAAGTTAAAATAATGATAATTGAGGATGGAGAACTGTGATACACCAAGAAGACATAACTACTCAAAGAATGATAGGAAATCAGGAAGTATGACGACTTAACCCAGAGAGAATGATAACAGGATCGAATGTTAACATAACATAAACATAAGAAAGAAGGAATACAGCAGCAGGCCTACTGGCCCATACGAGGCAGGTTCAAATCTCCTACCGGCTTTAGCCAATGCCCCAACCTAGTCAGGTAGGTCACATTCACTTAAGGAAAGAACACGGCAACCGACCTAGTAGCACAAGCCTAATCAGGACCAAACTACACACCCACCCAACCCACTCATGTATTTATCTACTCATTTTAACAAACACACAACGTTTAGCCTCTATAAACTGTACTTAGTTTTTATCAATCAAACTATTAAAACCGGAGGGTTCACTTAATTCGGGGCCAATCCTCTGAATCTGAATTTTTCTAACCTTAAAACCATTGCTACGAGTCTGTTAGGTAATATTTAAACACGTCATTTAATCCCCTTTAAATTATCCTGTTTTCATTTATACACCTCAATCATATCCACCCAGATTCAGGGCCCTCAGTCTCTCCTGATACATGGGATCAACTTTGTTATCCTCCTTTGTATGTTTTCCAGAGCATTTATATCCATTCTGTAATACGGTGATCAAAACTGTGCAGCATAATCTAAATGAGGCCTAACCTAGGATATAGAGTTGAAGAACAACCTGAGGACTCTTATTATTTATGTTTCTTGATATGAAGCCAAGGATTCTGTTAGCTTTATTGCGAACACTTATGTACTGTTGTCTTGGTTTCAAATTACTGCTAACCAGAACTCCTAAATCTTTTTCGCAATCAGTAGTATTAAGATCTACGTTATTTAGTTTATATGTGGCATGGTTATTTTCCTGTCCAACATTTAGGCAGTTTAAACTTCATCAGCTCGAGGAGACTGAATCGACAGATCACCAACAGTTGTCACAGCAATCACACAGTTAGGAATTCTAGGATAACAAGGATTATCCAGACATCCAGTCATACGACGCTAAGAAGGCAGGATTGTCTAATCATTCAGTTACACGAAGGTAGGGAAGAAGGATTATCCAGTTACCCGGTTACACAACGCTAGGAAATAAAAATTAACCATGCTTGAGTCTCGGGTAAGTAGCAGAAAGATTTTCTTTGCAGAAATACTTACCTTCATCAAGGCATCAATTTGACGAATAAAAGTCCAAGCTTCAAGCCGACGTTTCGGCCCCTTGAGAGACCATCATCAAGTCGCAACTGATAATACCAATGGACCGACACCTCGTCCGCAGTTTTCACTTCAAACTAGGGGAGGGGGGGGTTAAACTAGGGGTTAACTGGGAGTCAATACTAAACATACATAACTGGGATGTAATAAAAAAAAATTAATTGTTGATTTAAAGGTACATAAAAACATCTGAGATTATTGATCAGTGTCAATATTATCACAGTTCAAGTGTTCAGTAACATACCTATGAAATTAATAGTTTTGTTCAGTAACTTTTGTTTAGTGACTGTTAAATATAACCTTAATTAACTGACGAATATAAAGTGCGTTTAGTGTTGAATATTACTTAAATTAACTGTTGAATATAACTTAAACTGTTGAGCATAAATTAGATTAACTGTTTCATATATAACCTAAATTAAGTGTTAATTATAACCTAAATTAACTGTTAAATATAGCCTAATTTATCTATTTATATAACCTTTATTCACTGTTGAATATAAAGTTATTTAACTGTTAAATATAACGTTGTTTAACTGTTATATATAACGTTATTTAACTGTTATGTATAACGTTATTTATCTGTTAAATATAACGTTATTTAACTGTTAAATATAACGTTAACTGTTAAATATAACGTTATTTAACTGTTAAATATAACGTTATTTAACTGTTAAATATAACGTTAACTGTTAAATATAACATTATTTAACTGTTAAATATAACATTATTTAACTGTTAAATATAACGTTATTTAACTGTTAAATATAACATTATTTAACTGTTAAATATAACATTATTTAACTGTTAAATATAACGTTATTTAACTGTTAAATATAACATTATTTAACTGTTAAATATAACATTATTTAACTGTTAAATATAACATTATTTAACTGTTAAATATAGCCTAAATTAACAGTTCAGTAAAAGTTTCAGATAAAAAAAAAACTTAACAAGCGAAATTAATAAACGGTAATAATTTGTATAAAAAAATTATAAGTAAATATTTAAACTGTTAGATGTTATTCACAGCAGAAGTTAATAAAAAATTATATAGACTAAGTAATTATTATTTAGATTATATCTAACTGAAATATTCACTTCTAAAGTCGTCTGTCAGTGTTTAAAAAAAATATAATTTGGTTTTGTTAATGTATAATGTTTTTGTTATTAGTGTCGTTTTAGTTCATTTCAAAGTGATAATATTTTTTTGGAATTAAATAAGAAAAATGACACAACCAATATTTTTATGGTCTGTCTTTCCCGGTTTTTAAATGCTATGTATACTTAATGATGAGCTAAAAGAGGTCCATATATATATATATATATATATTATATATATATATATATATATATATATATATATATAATACAAAACAACCATGGAGTGAGTTGAATAAAATAGCTCTAGGCCTTTCGTGTTGCAATCAACACATCATCAGGAGCTTGCAACGTTGCAGCAATGAGTAGGAAATCTCAGCAAATTCTTTCCGATGGACGCCTTAGCAAGGCGTCTTCCTGTGTGTATACTTCTTCACAATACATCTTCCTGTGTATATACTTCTTTACAACACCTTTCTAATTCATCTTTTAGTCAGTCACAAACTTTTCAATATTTATATTCAGTAATAATTATTCTTCAGACGTCTTTTTCTCATTCTTAAAAATTCATCCCCTCAGCTTCACTCATCTCATCTTGCAACAGGTTCCAGTTTACCTGGAGTCACTTCCGGAGGTCACTGCCCCCGCGGTCCGGTCCCAGACCAGGCCTCCGGGTTGCTGGCTTGATCGATCAAGCTGTTAGTGCCCGCTGCCGCCACACCCTAACTGATCAGGAACTGTTTTGAGGAATCAGTAGAGTTCCTCCCTGTTTTTTTTTTTTAAATACTATTGTATTAACGAGTCAGGCCACAGTTTTAACATTGAATATATACAAGTCAAGTCACAGTTTTAGCGTTACATCTACCAGTCAAGTCACAGTCTTAATTCCACATCTACCAGTTAAAGCACAGTCTTAATTCCACATCTACCAGTCAAGCCACAGTCTTAATTCCACATCTACCAGTCAAGCTACAGTCTTAATTCCACATCTACCTGTCAAGGCACAGTCTTTATTCCACATTTACCAGTCAAGACAGTCTTATCACATCTACTAGTCAAGCCATAGTCTTAATTCCACATCTACCAGTCAAGCCACAGTCTCAATTCCACATCTACCAGTCAAGCCACAGTCTTTATTCCACATCTACCAGTCAAGACAGTCTTATCACATCTACTAGTCAAGCCATAGTCTTAATTCCACATCTACCAGTCAAGCCACAGTCTTAATTCCACATCTACCAGTCAAGGCACAGTCTTAATTCCACATCTACCAGTCAAGGCACAGTCTTATCACATCCACCAGTCATTCTTCACATTGGGTCTTTAAGGTAGATGAGGTTACCCATCACTCATTTCCAGACATCCTTAGTCTTGACGCCTTCCAGACGAAACATTTTCCAGTTCTCGAGTTGCATCGCCATTATCACCACCATGGCTGCAACACCACCTACGAATCACCACTGCTGCACCCCCACTATCACTGCACCACCAACACCACCACCACCACAACAACACCGTTGCACCACAACCATCACCCTGTATGATCAGGACCATCATCACTGCACTACCGCTAACACCATCGCTGCACCACCTCCACAACCATCAACGTTGCACCACCACGACACCGTTATTGCACTAGTACAGCCACGATCGTTGCACCACAACAACCACCACAACTATACAACAAACACCATCGTTGTACCACCACATTGCACCACCACTACGGTTATACAACAACTACACCACCATCGTTGCACCACCAAATTTACGGTAGCTGCATCATCACCGTTGTTTCATCGCATCAGCTAAAGTTATAATATCACTGTTTTATCATCACTACCACCATTGCACCAATACCCTTGAAACACCATCACCGCTGAATCAGCACCACCGCTACATCACAATGTGCATCTGCACCACAATCTCTACCACTGCGTAACTATCACTACAACACACCACCATCACCACCACCACCACTACTAACACCCCAACACTCTGTGCTTGTCACTGTCTAGCGTTATCTAATTACAGCTGTAATTGTCCAGTAATTACTCTCTATTAATTTATTTTTCTCCTCAATGAAAATATATTTTAATATCGAACATACAACTGGCGTCAGGGATACACAGCTTATTTAAAAAGAGTAGTGACTACCAGTGCGCCGAAGCCCTTAATAAAACTACATGCAAGGACATTTACCCTAGCCAATTCTCATGTAAACTAACGCAGTTTAATCATTACCCTCCATGCCAAGTTGTTCTCTGAAGCCACACAGTCGAGAGACGAGCGAAAAGCTGTGAAAAATTGATAGAGGGAGAGAGAATTGTGTGGAGACGTAGGGTTGGTTCAGGTACTGGGCAGGAGATGGCGCGCGGCGCTGGTGGGCTGGAACTCTTCCTCACACACAATGCCATTCACTTGTGACTCATAATTCTCAAGCCACGCAAGAATTATTGTTATTGTCTTAAACTCTTTCGCGTCTTTTAATGTTTTTTTGGCTAATAATTGACTTTGTAAATGGTATTAGTTGAATATGAGTAAAAACTATAAATGGAGTTAAGAGAGGTGCACGAATTAAATGTTAAAGGTGTTTGGAGACGCTGGCACCATGGTGAGGGAGGCGGGGCGAGGCTCCACAATAGACCAATCGGCTCTCGCCATTAAAAGCAATAACAGAGAATCGGGTGCTAATTGACCAATCATTGACCACGCTGGCTCATAATGGCGATAAGAACAGACAGAACAACGTAAAAGCAGTAGAACAGTTCCAGTTTGCCGTATAAGTCCGCATGAACTCCTAGCGCGGTGAGCTCGCGAGACGACGATACTCTGCGAGTTCTCATAACCCACGACATTTCCGTGTGGAGGACCAGGCGTTAGTTTGTTGTGGTGCGTGCTAGTGGGAAGTGTGTTTGTGATATTTAAGACATTTTTTGAGCAGAGTGTGAGTGGACTTGATGATGCCACAAGCGCCCACGCCCGTGGTGCCAACACGCCCACGTCTCGGTTTCTCCATAGAATCTCTGGTGGGTTGCGGAGATGAGAAGAGATCAGCTGCCTCGCCGCCTGCGCTGGCTTACACCAAGCTGCCGGAGTCGCCGCCGCATTCTTCGCCGCGCGACTTGGGGAGTCTGGGCCTGCCGCGCGAGTTCTTCCTTGCGCGGGAGCAACAGATCCGCGACCAAATACGGGACCAGCTTCTGAAGGAGCAGCTGTTCCGAGTGCACCAGGCGAGGCAGGAGTCTACCCATCAGCCACTGTCTCCGCTCACCTCTCCAGTAAGAACCCACTCTCCCAATACTCACCACCACCACGACGATGACAAGAAACCCTCATCTCCTCTCACCAGTCCAGTGGCCTCACTACCTCCTCCGAACTTCCTCTCAGGGGCTGGAGTACCTCTGCCCCCTCAGTTGCTGCCTCTCAGTGGCCACACCATGCACCCACACCTGCCCACGCCCCTCATGCCGCACCCGTTACTGACTCAGGGGCAGGTGCCACAGCTAGGAACGCCCTTGCCGCCCTGCCCACGGGACTATCCACTTTACCCCTGGTTGCTATCCCGCCACGGCAGGATCTTCCCACCTGGATTCCCTGGCGGTAAGTGTCTCCCATTCACTAATAGTGTCAGGGGAACCATTGTGTCAGGAACTATATTGACAGGAACTATATTGACAGGAACTATATTGACAGGAACTATATTGACAGGAACTATATTGACAGGAACTATATTGACAGGAACTATAATGTGTCGGGAACTTTTTTCATGGAAACATAGTGTCAATGAATAATTTCATATGGGAGCTTTATTGTCAAGAGTTACATACGTGCATATATTGCATCAAGGGAAATCTTTATAGATTACTTATTACAGTTTGTACATATTATATATATAATATATATATATATATATATATATATATATATATATATATATATATATATATATATTATATATATATATAATTTTATCAGTAAATATAAATACAACTTGCAAAAACAATTGCTATTGCTCAGCTTTTCATATAAAATTTCTGTGGTTAACTTAAATGAGTTACTTTTAGCTAAACAAAGTGTTAAATATTATATGTTTGGCAATAACTAATAGTAGAAAGGTCATAAAATTATCCGCTTATTAGGGAAAGTGTATGTATTAAATTCTTCAAGGTTGCCTTGATTCTGGTGAAGGACTCTTGATCCAAGGAATAAAATCAGTGAATCACTGCCTTGCGGCAAACCTGATTACTTTACATTACCTTCCTCTAACTAGGTATTGTGTGACTTAAGGGTTTCAGCTTCTCCGTAAATTTAGTAGTCAGAGAGAATTATATATTTTTATAAGTTTACGTATACAAATTCTCATAGATTACTGAGTAACGAAACAGCCAGACGCTCAGCTTTTCATTCGTTGGTTGTTGACGAGTGTGCGTGTTCCACAGGACACGATTTCCCCACGTTCCTGTTGCCGTTCCGCAAGCCTAAGAGGATCAGGACGGCGTTCAGCCCGAGTCAACTGCTGAAGTTGGAGCAAGCTTTTGAGAAGAACCAGTACGTTGTGGGCGCTGAGAGGAAGCAACTAGCGCAGTCTCTCAACCTCTCAGAAACACAGGTAAATGTTCCCTAAGAGGCATTATAGTCCCTCAACCTCTCAGAAACACAGGTAAGTGTTCCCTAAGAGGCAGTACAGTCCTTCAACCTTTTAGAAACACAGATAAGTGTTCCCTAATAGGCAGTACAGTCCTTCAACCTTTTAGAAACACAGGTAAGTGTTCCCTAAGAGGCAGTACATTCCCTCAACCTCTCAGAAACTTAAACGTCTTCTAAACATTACGTTACGGGCGCTGAAAGAAAGTAGTCAGCGCAGCCTCTGAACCTCTCAGAAACACAGGTAAAAGTTCCCTGATGTAGTTTATGATTCCGATATACTGTATCTTCAAAAATTTTTGAGGGGCAGTGTACACGTGTTGCTGTTTTGTAACCAATACATTTCGGCTAAAATAATTGACTCCAGGTCGATTTGTATTTCTCTGCAGCGGTGTCCTGACGCATGGAAGTGACGCTGCCCAATAAACTGGGACCTCTAATTAAAATCTTATATTCATAGATTAATGTGTTCATATTCGCGATCATTGCCCCAGACACTCGCAGTCACTCGTGGCAGACATCACTCTGGACAATAGCGGTAACTGGTGTAGCGCGACGGACGTCACTTGGGAGATTGACAGTAACTGGTGTAGAGTGGCAGACGTCACCATAGACACTGGCAGTAACTTGCAGTGTAAATGACATCGTTACACAGATAACTCGCGCACAGGGGAATGAAACTCACGACAACGTTTCGGTCCGACTTGGACCATTAGCTAACCACACAGACATCGCCCTGGATGGACCATAGGCTCTCACACCTCTCACTAGTTTCTACTAACCACGTATCTTCATCATCCCCTCCATCCCGCTTAATTTCACCCATGACCGCTCCTATCAGACCACGCCCACGCCCACACTCGGCCCCAGCAGCTCATACCCCGCCCAACTCTTCACTGGATCCTCTCCTTACTCAGCTCTCCAGTGTTCCATCAGACTGACTCTTACTTAATGTTATGAGTGAAGCTGCTAATCCATTAGCTCTTGCTCTTGATGACTGCTGAAGAGATCTTGATGCAAGGAACTAGAGCTATCTTCCTCTTCCTTGGATCAAGCCCCAAGCGCTTGTTTTTACCTCTTCCCCATACCTGAAGGATGCTTGCGAGTCAGATCACAGACATAATAATAATAATAATAATAATAATAATAATAATAATAATAATATAAAAAATTAAAAGCTCATCACTTGTCATTTTTAATGATAATTTAGAAGATCGCAACAATGCAGATTTATCTCCATAAAAATCCTCTCGTTCCAAGCTGTTCAAAGCTCATCCTCACTACTACATGAACGGCAGCACAGCTGAGGCTGTCACCAAAGGGATCCACACCACATTTCCCGGCCTTACTATTTCGGTAATAAAATAATAAAATTTGGTAGTGGTTAGCGAGACACGACTCCAGCCGTCAGCCTAGCCATGGGACGCCAGCCTGCCCATGGGACGCACTGCCTGCCATCCCAGACGCCAGCCTGGTCCTGGGACGCACTGCCTGCCATCCCAGACGCCAGTCTGGCCATGGGACGCACTGCCTGCCATCCCAGACGCCAGCCTGGTCATGGGACGCACTGCCTGCCATCCCAGACGCCAGCCTGGTCATGGGACGCACTGCCTGCCATCCCAGACGCCAGTGGTCATGGGACGCACTGCCTGCCATCCCAGACGCCAGCCTGGTCATGGGACGCACTGCCTGCCATCCCAGACGCCAGTCTGGCCATGGGACGCACTGCCTGCCATCCCAGACGCCAGTCTGGCCATGGGACGCACTGCCTGCCATCCCAGACGCCAGTCTGGCCATGGGACGCACTGCCTGCCATCCCAGACGCCAGTCTGGCATGGGACGCACTGCCTGCCATCCCAGACGCCAGTCTGGCCATGGGACGCACTGCCTGCCATCCCAGACGCCAGCCTGGCCATGGGACGCACTGCCTGCCATCCCAGACGCCAGCCTGGCCATGGGACGCACTGCCTGCCATCCCAGACGCCAGCCTGGACATGGGACGCATTGCCTGCCATCCCAGACGCCAGCCTGGCCATGGGACGCACTGCCTGCCATCCCAGACGCCAGCCTGGCCTTTGGGACGCATTGCCTGCCATCCCAAACGCCAGCCTGGTCATGGGACGCACTGCCTGCCATCCCAGACGCCAGCCTGGCCATGGGACGCACTGCCTGCCATCCCAGACGCCAGCCTGGCCATGGGACGCACTGCCTGCCGTCAACTTCGTTTATTTTTATTCGCCGTCTTCCTTGACGTACACACGCATGTAGTGTGTTATTCAGAGTGTGATCACTCCTGCTGTTGCTGCTACCAGATTGTTTCTTGAAATTTTTATTATTATTATTATTATTATTATTATTTTTTTTTTTATTATTCATTATTATTTTTTATTTTATTATTTTATAATGATGATGATAATAATAATAATAATAATAATAATAATAATAATAATAATAATAGTAAAGCAGTAAATATTTATAGTAATTATTTATAATAATTTTTTATTATTATATTGGTATTATCTCGGTCATTATTTTATACATCTTCTACTGTTAATAATAATTTTAATAAAATTATTGTAATAATAAAATTTATTATTGTTATTAATTTCATTTATATTATTTCTGCTGTGTTGACTACGATTGTTACTATTGCTACTACCTATGTAATTTTTACCTATCCTAGTATTTTTATACTATTATGACCTACTACTACTGCTGCTATGACTACTACTACTTCTATTATAACTACTACTACTACTACTACTATGACTATTACTGCTACTACTACTACTATGACTGCTGTTACTACTACTATTCTACTGCTACTACTACTAGCAATACTATTATGACTACTACTATACTACTATTATGGCTACTACTACTACTACTACTACTACTACTACTACTACTACTACTACTACTACTACTACTACTACTACTACTATGACTACTACAACTAGTACTACTACTACTGCTGCTACTGTAACTACTACTACCACCACTACTACTACTACAACTAGTACTACTACTACTACTGCTTCTGTGACTACTACAACTAGTACTACTACTACTACTGTGACTACTACTACTACAACTAGTACTACTACTACTGTCATATTCTTGTATTACTTGATAAAGCTACTATTGCGACACTGTCACGTCTTCAGTGTTACACTGTTATTACGACTACTAATATTTCCTGCCTTTACTGTTTACTATTATCATCTACGTTTATTGCTTTCTGCTAATACTATCACTAGTACTACTACTCACTAATACTACTGTTATACTATTATTACTATTAATCTTACCAGGTTGCCACTTTCTACTATATTCCTGGTATTATTTTTATAACTCCTACAGTTGCTACTAGTATTACTGCTACTCTTATTACTAGTATTACTAACGCTATTACCACTCGTATTACTACTGGTATTGTTATTACTACTAACCAGTGAGAATTAATACTCCACTACTAATTCTCATTGAGAAGTTATCAGTGATGTACTTTCGTCTCATTGTCAAGATATATATATATATATATATATATATATATATATAATATATATATATATATATATATATATATATATATATTATATTCATGTTATATATAATTATATTTTAAATATTCAGAGAATTTGGACAAGTGTCAGTGTGAATAATTTAACAATTAATCAGTAATGTGTCTCATTAACTTGTTAAAAAGCTACTCTGGCGGTCACTGAGTTAAATTAGTCTCCCACAACATACTAACGTGAGTTTCCGGCACCAGAGATGATACTGTCTTGGCAAGCTTATATGAGTTGTGTTAGGATGACAAGTTATATTTAGATTTGGTCACAGACCGGGCCGCGGGGGCGTTTGCCCCCGGAACTCTCGCCAGGTAACTCCAGGTAAACTGGCCCCATGCTAGGAGCGCTGGGATAGTACTACTGGCACCATGCTAGGAGTGCTGAGATAGTACTACTGGCACCATGCTAGGAGCACTGGGATAGTACTACTGGTCCCATGCTTGGAGCGCTGGGATAGTACTACTGGCCCCATGCTAGGAGTGCTGGGATAGTACTACTGGCACCATGCTTGGAGCGCTGGGATAGTACTACTGGCACCATGCTTGGAGCGCTGGGATAGTACTACTGGCACCATGCTAGGAGTGCTGGGATAGTACTACTGGCACCATGCTAGGAGCGCTGGGATAGTACTACTGGTCCCATGCTTGGAGCGCTGGGATAGTACTACTGGCACCATGCTAGGAGCGCTGGGATAGTACTACTGGCACCATGCTAGGAGCGCTGGGATAGTACTACTGGCACCATGCTAGGAGCGCTGGGATAGTACTACTGGCACCATGCTAGGAGCGCTGGGATAGTACTACTGGCACCATGCTAGGAGCGCTGGGATAGTACTACTGGCACCATGCTAGGAGCGCTGGGATAGTACTACTGGCACCATGCTAGGAGCGCTGGGATAGTACTATTGGCACCATGCTAGGAGCGCTGGGATAGTACTACTGGCCCAATGCTAGGAGCGCTGGGATAGTACTACTGGCCCCATGCTAGGAGCGCTGGGATAGTACTACTGGCCCCATGCTAGGAGCGCTGGGATAGTACTACTGGCACACTAAGGGAAAACACCATAAGTGTCCGGGGCCCAAAACTGTTCAACAGCCTCCCATCAAGCATTAGGGGAATTGCCAATAAACCCCTGGCTGCCTTCAAGAGAGAGCTGGACAGATACCTAAAGTCAGTGCCGGATCAGCCGGTCTGTGGCTCGTACGTTGGACTGCGTGCGGCCAGCAGTAACAGCCTAGTTGATCAGGCCCTGATCCATCGGGAGGCCTGGTCATGGACCGGGCCGCGGGGGCGTTGATCCCCGGAATAACCTCCAGGTAACCTCCGGGTAACCATGCTAGGAGCGCTGGGATAGTACTACTGGCCCCATGCTAGGAGCGCTGGGATAGTA